CGCGGGGCGGGCGGGGGACCCGGAGACGCGCCCCCCCCGATCGCCGGCGACTCGTCGCGACTCGCTCACTCGCTCTCAGGAGAGAGAGCCCGGACTTGTACTACCTCGCTGCTTGCCTGGGATCCCGTGCCATGAGACTACAGTACTTGGGGATGCCGCCTTCCTCTCCTGGCAAGAGTTTTAACTTATAACGAGAGCAGTTGGATTTTAATTGAATACATACACACTGAGGAGGAGCACAACTCAACAGAACTGCCCTCCTGCACTGCAGAAGAAGAAGCATCGACAATATTTGGAAAACGCAGCACAAGGCTCAGAAGAGCGACCGCTCTCGGGGATCTCAGAGGAGAACTTAAGAAGAAGGTACTATACCGACTCCTTGCCTCCTTGCAAGGATCCTGAAATGTTCGCCTGTTCCCTTTGTCCCGCCCTTTGTGCCCAAACACCGTTACATGGGAGAAACCTTGGAGACAATGATCGTTGCCTGTCTGGAGGAAATTTCTTAAGATGCGGTTATTGTGAAAGGCGCACACAAGCAATAAAGCCATAATGGGCGCTTTCTGTCTAGTTCACGTGAAAGCCAAACCACCCTTCCAATCGATGTGTGAAATTCATGTTCACCACACGGTTATAGGCCTGGCTAAAGGCTGGAAAGCCCTCTCCTGACCAATAAACTCCAACCAAAGAGCTTAAGCTAAAATGAAAGGCAACCTTTAAGGCTTTTCATTAGGAATGTAAACAGTCTAGCGAAGAAGTGTAATATTTCCATTTAAAGAAAGCCAGTGTGGGTGTGTAAAATCCCAGATTAGGATTTGGGCGATCCATGTGTTTGCCCCCCAGTTGTACAGGAAACTCCCTAGGTGGCTTGGGCTGACCAGTCCCTTTCAGCCTCACCTCCCTGCTAGAAGTGTATTGAGGCAAAATTAGGGAGGGCAGGAATGATGGATCATCACCTTAAACTCATCGAAGGGAAGATGGGCTACACATTATTGTAGATCATGCTATAAAAACATCCGGTGCCACACGGGTGACTTGTGCTCCTCCTTCAACATAGGAAACCAGTCTTCCTGGCTGGGGGGGGGAGTTTGGGAGTGGCATTCCAGTGTGTTCTACCTCCAGTACATCACTGGCTAAGAGACTGAAGAGGTCCTTCCCACCCACTTACCTACCGGTTCTCTTGTATAAATGCCTGCTTCCCACACATCCCACGCTGTTCACTTTCCACTTAGGAAAGCATAAACTTTATTGGGGTGCGTGGAGGTGGCATCATATTTTCTTTCTTTTTCATGGCGAGATTGTACCCAGGTTTCATACCAGAGTGGGCAGGAGAGGGTACTGTTTGCCCCAGTTGCCAAAATGTTTACCTTGTTTCCCTGAAAATAAGACCTAACCTGAAAATAAGCCCTAGTCTGATTTTTCAGGATGCTTGTAATATAAGCCCTACCCCAAAAACAAGCCCCAGTTAAGTGAAACCCCGCCCTCCACCCTTGTGCAGCAACCAGAAGATGACATGGCTGCATTTGAATAAATGTAGATTGTTGTACATGGAAAAAAAATCACCTGAAAAGAAGCCCTAATGTGTTTTTTTTGGGAGCAAAACTTAATATAAGACCCTGTCTTATTTTTGGGGAAACACAGTAGTTATATATGGTTCACCTCTCCACTCCCCCATCCATATTTCTAGATTTTTTGCTGTGAATACGTGTGACCAGCTAGGAGCACTCCTTTGCCGTCACAGTGCCTTCAACATCTGCTTTAATCCCCTTTGGTGCTTGTGCAACTCTGGGATCAAAATGAAATTTGACTTCCACAAACCTCAATAGCATTTTAAAAAGCAGAGACATCACCTTGCCAACAAAAGTCCAAATAGTCAAAGCTATGGTTTTCCCTGTAGTGATGTACGGAAGTGGGAGCTGGACCATAAAGAAGGCTGACTGCCGAAGAATTGATGCCTTTGAATTGTGGTGCTGGAGGATACTCTTGAGAGTCCCCTGGACTGCAAGGAGAACAAACCTATCCGCTCTGAAGGAAATCAACCCTGAGTGCTCACTGGAAGGACAGATCCTGAAACTGAGGCTCCAATACTTTGGCTATCTCATGAGAAGAGAAGACTCGCTAGAAAAGATGCTGATGTTAGGAAAGTGTGAAGGCAAGAGGAGAAGGGGACGACAGAGGACGAGATGGTTGGACAGCGTCATGGAAGGGACCAACATGAATTTGACCCGACTCCGGGAGGCAGTGGAAGACAGGAGGGCCTGGTGTGCTCTGGTCCATGGGGGCATGAAGAGTCGGACACAACTAAACGACTAAACAACAACAACACTGAGGAACAGGCGGAATGGGTCACTTCTGTATCTATGGAAGGTCTGTGATCCCTCAAACCTTTTTGCAAGGTTAGATGAACGCAAGACTTGGAAAGTGAACTTTGCAAAACTGAGTTAGGGAGAAATGTGAGGACCTGAGAAGGAAACAAGAAGAAAGGCAGGGATCAAACTGAAAATATGTTTTAAGAGCAAAAATCTTTCCTTGGATGGATCAAATTCTAATTAGTGCTTTACATTATGGAATTGAAAGATCTTAATTGATTCATGCTGTTCTCCTGAACTTTAGCTTTTTGAAAAGTTTATATTATCTGATGTTTGTGGGTTTTTTACTAAACGTTTCCATTCTTTTCAAGTGTGAACAGTTGTGTGTTTGTTTATATTATTTGAATATATGTATCATACTCTGTAGATAATCTGAAAATATTTACCTCTATTTATTAACATTATTATTTACATTATTCTATTAAAGAAGCTTGTAGGTTTATGAGCTGAGTTAGTTCTGGCTGAAATTGAATCTGGCTAGATTTTTTTATATCATAGGAGAACCTGACTTCAGTCTTCGGGAACAGGCCAAATAGTGATGGTGGTAGTGATAATTTTTCACCAGGGTGGTTGCCACCATCTCCTGCCCACTCCGCAGATGTGGATCTGAGAGCAGCACACCAGTAGGGTTACAGGCAGCAACGATGCAGAATCTTTTCTTCGCTAATATTTATTCTTGCCAGAAAGCTGTTGAAAACAAACGGGACCTGCCAGAAGAAGGAAAACTAGTTGGCAACATTCTTCTCATTGGTACAAATAACAACAGGGAAAAGATGAGTCTTCTGTTCTCTTTTGGAGCTTCTTGGCCATTGTGGGAGGGATGACCGCTGAGCTAGCCAAGTAACCCTTCAGCCTGGCCTGGAGTTGCCACTTCTTTCCCTCTGTTCTTGTGTCTCTTGCCCTCTCAGGAAGTGGAAGTCATGGCTCTTATCCTTTGGCCCTTAAAAACTTGCTTCCTCCCTGGACTCAATCTGACATTCTTAAGAAATTACAGGGAAAAGGTGTATTGCCAAATGAAGTTGGACTCCAGGTCCCATCATCCCCAACCAATTGTCAGAGATGACGAAGGTAGTAGCTCATGAAATCTGGGAGGCCAGAG